TAGAGTTGCAAAATGGAACAGCTGAGTATAGTTGTAGGTGATTGTATGTATTCGCCTTGGATGTTGTCCCTGCAAAAAATTGTGCGACTAATCTCTAAAGAGAGTATTCCGAGATTACTCTCTATCGGGTACAGTTGGGCATTAATTAGTCGCAACTAGTCTCATACGGGTACTAATGGAGATCAATTAGTCTCGACTCATCCCTTGCGGGTACGATTGTATGCAGTACACAAAACTTCAAAATTTTTACAAAAAAAAGTTTATTTTTTTAACGAATTTATAACAAAATGAAAGGTAATTAAATTACCTTTATTTTAAAATGTGTTACCATTCATGATTCTGAAACATTTCTTTTAAACAAGTCTCGGCTAACAACTTTGTGTTTCACACTCGCATATGGCAGTACACAAAACTTTAAAATTTTTATAACAAAAGTGAATTTATTTAAAATAATTTATATATAAAAGAAAAGTAATTAGACTACCTTTATTGTAATTAGTATTAACAAGAATTTTTAACCATTTACAAAAAAAAAGCCTTGGCTTACAACTATGTGAACTTTGTACATGTACTCTGCACTCGCATAAGGCAATACACAAAACATGGATTTTTTTGTAAAAAAAGGTTAATTTTTTGAAAGAATTTATAACAAACATAAAAGTAATTAAATTACCTTTATTTTAGTTAGTATTAACAACAAGAATTTTTAACCATTTACAAGAAAAAAAGCCTTGGCTTACAACTATGTGAGCTTCGTACATGTACTCTGCACTCGCATAAGGCAATACACAAAACATGGATTTTTTTGTAAAAAAAGTTAATTTTTTTGAAAGAATTTATAACAAACATAAAAGTAATTAAATTACCTTTATTTTAGTTAGTATTAACAACAAGAATTTTTAACCATTTACAAGAAAAAAAGCCTTGGCTTACAACTATGTGAACTTCGTACATGTACTCTGCACTCGCATAAGGCAATACACAAAACATGGATTTTTTTTGTAAAACAAGTTAATTTTTTTGAAAGAATTTATAACAAACATAAAAGTAATTAAATTACCTTTATTTTTGTTAGTATTAACAACAAGAATTTTTAACCATTTACAAGAAAAAAAGCCTTGGCTTACAACTATATGAGCTTCGTACATGTACTCTGCACTTTAACATTGCGTCACATTAGCGGATAGGGGTAATGGCTTCTGCTGCATTCATGCACTGCAAAGCGATTGCATTATTTGATGCCGATTCTGGAGTTGATGGCGTTGTGATGGGATCGTAGTTCTCTGTTGGGAATATAGAAACCGAATTAGAATTAGTATCCTTGCCGGTTGCATCCTGTAAGTAAGAAAACAGTAAATAAATGATGTAGTTGAAAAATTACATTTCGGGTTTAGTTATTCGTACAATAATTTTGGTTTGCTGTGCCCAAACGCGTTACCCGAATCAAAATCGTTGTATAAGTAACTAAACATTTTCTAATATTTCTGAAGCTTTCTTTTACGCACCTTCTTCTCTTCTTCACTGTGAGTGGTGTAAGTTTAAACGAACCGTATTGAGGCTGGATGGAGCAATGGAGGTAAAGCGAAATGCGCTTGCTTCGCGTTGATCCTTGAAATAGCAGGGTGTGTCTTTTTCGAGCATATCGCTGGCGAGGACGATCAGGTAGCGGGGTTACACTTTTGAGCAAGATAAATAATAGCAACCAGTTAATGCTTGGGAGTACATACTTAAAACTACCATCATACCTTATTATCCAAGCCATTGCAAATCGCTCCAACTTGTGCACAAATAAACAATTGCAGAGCTTCGTAGCAACATACGTAGCTCGCTTTTATGACCGCACGTAAACTTTTGGAATGCCGCATACTGCAAAATAATTAATATTAATTAATTCATTACGGTTTGCACAGAAATATAGCCATAAAAACTTACTTTTGTAATTCACTTCACTTCATTTTATAGTTTCTGCCAATTTTTGCCACTTTGTTTATGTTTCCAAGCAGTGTTGTTAAGCCATGGAAATTTCCCTTTTGTGGGGCTATTTACAAATGAAGGGGACATTTCATCGATATAATATTTTCATGCATACATCATTCAAAGAGATGACGTACCCAATGTCGATAATGAATTATTAATTATACGAATATGTAAAAAACTTAGGAAGCCTGAATTTGAATACTTACATATATATATGAAGCGCTATTTATAATTAATACAACTTAAATCAGAAATATTAATCAGTTCTCTTGCGACAATACTCTATGAAAATATGAGCTAAAAAAATAACGTAAAAAGATACTTATTTTTTAAGCTAATAGAAATTATTGTTAAATGAAGGATTTAGTTGATTTATTTGTATCCACTGCCATACAGGGAAATTTTGTTTGAAATTTTAACAAAGGCAAGTAGAGTCGGCGACACTGTTCCCATAGTTGCAAAACTATAAATCCGATACTATCGATGGTTATATTGTTAGTATCGATTGTTTTCCTCTACTGTCATTGCATTTCTGTTATATCGATTATTATTGCAAAAAAGTAAACAGAAATGTACTAATAAAAAACACGTTGATAACAATATTTTTAATTAAATACAAGCCTACAAGCTGGGAAGCCTTTTTTTACAATGATTTATAGATTATGCATACATATTATACTATTGAAGTTCAATAAAAAGTCGAAGTTTCTGTTCAATATAATCTTTGAAAGCTGATTGTAAGAAATATATTAGGGGTCTTCACACCGAGCTTGGTACTCGGTAAATATAAAAAGTTTTTTATAAGCCAAAATTCAATAAAAATTGTGGTGAAAATCGAAATTTTGGGGCATAAATGCAGTTGGGCTCCAAATCTCAAATTAAAAAAAAATATATTGGAATCGATAGAGATGATTGAGCTGAGTATAACGGTATACTTC